ACTGAGGGCCATGCATCTTATCGCTGCCTGGCACACATGGTGTTTCATCACTTGATAAACACTTGGGTGTCAGTGGTCACATAATATTTCTGTTTATATTCCATGTTGGTAACAAGACGCCCATTCAGTTTCCTTTCCATTCACCACATAAATTCTGAGACAATCAAACCTGTCTCAGCTTTGATTGTCATAACCATAATTGAACTCTGCTTAGCCACCCAGGTCAGGCTATATAAATGCCATACATATTTCATGCAGCATCACAGTTATCTGACAAAGGGTTTTTTTGTGAATTGAAATCACGCCTCATATTTCATTAGACACTCAGAAAGTCTCTGGTCTGTGGTCAGATTGGCTGTATGTTTTATTCATGTCCTCTGAACATCTGCTTGTCCGGATGTCAAAAATCATCAGGCTCCCCCAGGACTCCTGCCCGACTGGTTGTAAATGAACTCCAAAGTTGAGACTCAAAACAACCTGTCAGAGCTCTCCACCACCAGAGGAATTTTTCAATACAGAAGCGGAGGTGAGTTGAGTAACTATGATCTTGTTCTGGAAAAGAGTGATGAAAGTCAACGTTGGACATACACGTGAGGTCAGAAATAAAAAAAGCGCACTCTGATTCAGTTGGTGTGATACTGTGAAACACTTTCTAATACAAGTTGTGTCTTCTTCCCACAGCATTTAGTTTTTTTTGACACTGCTGTTCACTCTGGCTCCTGGTCGACAAGTCTCCCTGAGTCACTGGAGGCTTGTGCCAACTGGAGGGAAAGAGCCTGACCACTAACAAGTGCTCACTGACTCATAGCCGCCACAGTATGTCCCACTGTGTCTTTGTGTGTGAGTGTGCATGTGTGTCTTTATATACTATTCTATTTCTCTCTTTGCACCCATCCCACAGAAAATGTGTGGTCTTTTGGAAATGAAAATGTATTTTAGCTCACATGCGTGCCCTCCCAAACTCAGCTGTAACAAAGACGCATGCATAAAATAAAACAAAATGAAACCAGGAAGAGGAAATTAAAATGTCATCCAATGCAACCAATAAAAATGTAGTTACTCTTCCTATTTAGGGGACATTTTATGAGGAATTTTACTCCTGTCTGAATTATTGGTATCATTGTTGCAAGACTAGTTACAATCATAGATTTGTTGTAATTTGACTTAGACTGGACTAAAAAAGTATAAGATCCCTATTCTTGTATTCAATGATGCACTTCTGTGCTCTGAATGATTCCTTATTTCATGTTCATTACCTTGGGTTTACTATCCTGAAACTTAAGCCAAGACTGTCCACTGCCATGCTAGTGGCTCTGTGTGGCTGTAATAAGGCACAGCAGTTCTTTGAGCTAAATGCTGAAATGCTCAGCTTACTAACCAAGATCCAGTCCACCTCAAACCCAATGCTCAAACCTCATGGTGGCACCGGAGGAAAAGTCAGGGGATCACCACAGACAGAGAGATTTCAGTATGGACCAAAGTGGTGGACCTACTGTTTGGAAATGAAGCTGTGAAAATAAAAAACAGATATTAAAAATGCTTTGAAAAGCTGAGGGAACTGACGAGTCAGTGATAATTCTTGTTGGGTTCATCCCTACAAATGATAACTTTAACTTTACATGTACATTAATATAAAATAATTGATTACATGAGCTTTAAAAGTAATATCTCACACTTATTCAACCCATCTATTCTCCAAAAATGACAACTTTGAACGTTGCATGGGAACAAGGCCTTCACTTGACTATCCCTGACACAACTTGTGTCAGTCTTGTCATCATTCACTCCTCAACTATTTGCATGACTGTTGAAAGTGAGTGGCTCAATGCCTCTTATTACACGATGGGCCAAATTTACATACTGCAAATACACATCTGCTGATTTTTGAACAATTTCTTTGTGACAAAATAAGATCTTTATTTTTTGTTCTTTATTATTTGAGGATCTTTATTATTTGTTAAGTAATACAGCTCATTCTTTCCTTTTACAGCCCTTTTAACAATCTTTTTAAGAGTTTCAATGGTTCTGTTTGCCACTATTTTAAGATTATGATTCAGCAAACATTGTTGTGCTTGTGACTTCCATAGAATATCATTCGGGCTGCAATCAAATCCTCCCTCCTCCCAAACAAACAAGGCTATCTGTGTTTTTCCTTCCTGCTCATCTATCTCTCCACCTGGCAGTGAGGTGCCATCAACAAAGAGTGACAGCCCCTGCATTCATGAGCACATCATCATTTGCCCTCCTCACCAAGAATTAGCCCTTCATCACTCAGACCTTGGAGAAGTTTTGTCTGGACTGGATTTTCTTTTAAATCTTAAATCACAATGACCTGTTTGGATCATTTTATGAAGAATTGAAAATTCAGTACATACATACATTTTAAACACTATCACTTATTAAGGCTAAGCAACCATTTAGATTTTTTTAAACTAATTAATTACGTGATCTCACCCAATTTTCCTTAAAAATATCTCCACAATCAGTCATTTCATCAGTATATTTGTGTGAAGCCATCCTTCACTGCCAGGTCCTAGTGACTCCCTCCTTCCTTTCAGAGGTTCTATAGATTTTTTCCAAATGATAAATTGGACACTAGGAGCCACTAAAGTGTGACCAGGTGCCAAAGGAGTATAGCTTTTTGTCTTTAATGGGCCAAATTATACTTAAGACCTTTAGTGTCATGGTTTGGGGGTTTTCTTGTCTTATTTTCTGGGTTTTGTGCCATGTCTTGTGCCTTGTTTATTTGCAATTTGTTCAGCTTAGTTCAGTTTTTCCATTTCTTTCTCATTTCCTGTTTTCTTAGTTCTTTTCTACGTTTTTTATGTCTAATTTTGCTTCCCATTCTGTTTCATTACATTAAAAGCTGTTAGGATACGTTCTAATAACGTGTTGTGGGCTGTAACATTACAGTCATCAATAGAAAAAGAAATATACTGTGTTAAAACCCTGCTGAAACCGTAATCATTTCAGGGCTTCAAAGTTGCATTAGTGTTTGTGTTTCACTTTCTCTCTTTTGATTGAAGAAATGCATGCATTCTATCCCATCCATCACCTCCACCCCTCCCCTCACTGTCCACACACAGAAGCCGGTAACGGTTCATTTCTAGCCCATTCTCTCCTGTGGCACCGTGGTGGGCAGAAACTTGTGCAGCTGACTTTGTGCTGCATAACCACATAACGCAGATTGTGTTTCCTCTCAAAAAGTCTTTAGTTGTTGTTTTTCCTTGCGTTGAGTAAGTAGAGATGAATCAGTTAAACGGATACTGCAGCGCGTAAAAGTTGTGGATGGTTACTTTTGCGCATAAACATTTAAAGGGCTATTTTATCTCCAAAAGTTGCAATATTATAGAAGAGCAGGTGAAATTCTTCCCTCTATAAAAATATCGCCCACAAGCAGGCTGGAAGACCATCCAATCCGGAGAACACAGCGAATCCGCAGAGCGCAGATGATCGCAACTGGTGTTTGTGGCGTCGCGCTGGTGCTGGTGTTGGTGGTTCTGATCCCGGTCATGGTGAACACCGCCGGGACTCCTGCCCGCTATGAGATGCTCGGATCCTGTCAAATGGTGTGCGACTCTCACGGGACAGCGGCCACGGCCACGGCCAAGGCAACCAACCCGATCAAAGACAACCGTCTGGTTCAGTCGCTTCCGACGTTCATCCAAGGTCCTCAAGGAGAGCCGGGACGCGTCGGGAGGATGGGTCCGAGGGGTCCGGGTGGGGAGCCCGGGCCACCTGGACCTGCTGGTCCGCCCGGAGAAAGAGGGGCACCGGGCCCTCCGGGTCCACCCGGAGCACCCGGAATAAATGGGCCCACCGGTGCCATCAGCGCTGCCACTTACAACACAGTCCCAAAAATTGCGTTTTATGCAGGACTTAAGAAGCAACATGAGGGATATGAAGTGTTGAAATTCGACGACGTAGTCACAAATCTTGGGAACCACTATGACCCCTCTACAGGGAAATTCACCTGCTCAATACCTGGGATTTACTTCTTTATTTACCACGTGCTGATGCGAGGCGGGGATGGAACCAGCATGTGGGCTGACCTCTGCAAGAACAACCAGGTAGGAAGCTTCATGATATGATTTGTTTTTTTTGTTTGTTTTGTTTTTTGCTTTACTCTGTAGTCGTTGTTTGCAATCCATAGTGAAAAGACGTAATTTGATGAATTCATTTTTACTTGCATTTTACGCACGTTTTACGCACGGCTGTACCCAGATCAACAATCCAAAAATATTTCACGGACACTTAAAAACAAACAAACAAAAACTGCTTACAGTGAAGTTGTCTGGGGGTTGTTTTAAGCTTGAAATGACAGACGTGTTGTCACTGATGGAGCTGTCCGCGGTTCTGATTACAGAAATATAGACACGTTTAATCAGCAGAAATGTCCCGTTTGCCTTCCAGGTGCGAGCCAGTGCCATCGCCCAAGACGCCGACCAGAACTACGACTACGCCAGCAACAGTGTCGTCCTACACCTCGAGCCCGGGGACGAGATTTACATCAAGCTGGACGGCGGAAAGGCGCACGGGGGCAACAACAACAAGTACAGCACCTTCTCCGGCTTCATGTTGTACGCCGACTGAAACACGGAGACGATCTGCCGAGGTGGAGAAGACCTGCTCTGCATATCGCTTGCTTCACTGCTCATGCTCAATTCAATGTCAGGTGGAATATTAGAGACATTTCCATATTGCAAAAGAGTCCAAAAAGATGTGGGGGACGTCATGCAAAAAAAAGAACTTCACTTTGCAATGAAGAGCTTTCGGTGTAATACAGAATAATAATGAATTTTAAAGTATCCATCAAATGGATTCGTGTCGCACCCTGAATGAACTGCTGAGCTTTACAAATTAAGTTTGCTGATATGTCAGACATTCTGTAGCTGCTGTGGTGACACATACCGAGAGTGTACACTGAAAGTTCGATGTAATGACCTTTAGCACTCAATCAGGTGCTGAAATTATATTCACATAATCACCACTCTGTTCAGTGTTAGTCAATATGTGTGCTTTATTGAAAAAAAATGATAGTTGATGCATTTTGAGTGAAAACGTAAGTAGTGATGCATGATTCTAAAATGGCATTTCAACTCTGTGCAGCATAATAACACTTTAAAGATAAACTGATTCTGTAAAGGGCCATTGTGATGTTCATATTGAAGCGCTGTCACCAAATAATCACTGTAACTCACTTTCCTTGTCTCAATACGACAGCTGGTTGGGGCAACAGGGTGGTCTGACGGTTAGTCAAGATCACAAAACTGGACAGTCACACTGACGGGAATGTTTCCTCGAGCACGACCACGGACATCGATCTGCCTGCGTGTTTGTTGAGTCCCTCCAGATAAGACTGTCGGCTAATGTGTACAATACAATGTAAAATTAAATCCTCTTGTTCACTTTCTAATCCTCTGGGAAGATTAATCAAAAGTTACATAGCTGTTCAGTGCACTGTGGCGATCATGCCATTGATCATGTGATGAAGTCACCCTGTGAGGCCACCTGTTCCCAGATGAGAGGAGAACATGTCCTTCATCTGGGCCTGCCAGCCAGTCAGCCTCCCATAGACACCCAGACACCCACTGAGGGGCAACAGGACAACTCATCTAACACAGCCGCATTGTGTGGAGAGCAGAGCAGCATACTGATTACCAGACTGCTCATTACCCCCCCCCCCCCCCAAAAAAAAACATATTTGCAGAAATGTCACATACAAACACAAACAAAGCAACTGTGACATTGAAACAGAAAAATCAATTAGCACCATATTTGTGAGCACCACTGTAGGCCACACCCACAGAGAAAGGAAAATATTGGTCTTAGATTGCATTCACATTTGTGCATAAAAGAAAATGCTTTTTTGTGGGACATACATGGAACCAAAACAAGACCGCTAATGAGAGGCACTGTGATCCTGCAAGGCTCCTTTGATGTAATCTGCTTAAAAAGTGAATAATATATAATCAAAAATATAAAATCAAGTGTTAATTAATGAGGTCCTCCATAACAAAACTCTTTCAGCTGAACGAAACGACAGCCTGTGATTATTTTCCACTTCAAAGACAAATTACCAAAACATTTTTTCTACTGTATGCTGAAAAATGTAATATTGACATTAAAGATTGATCCATGCACAAACACTGTATGCTCATTGGTTTAAGGCTCCAAAGCACATTTACAAATGCATTTGGACTGTTTGCAAAGATCTCAAAGTATTCATTGTGGGGTGTTCAGTCATCATCTGGAGATAAAATAATCGCTACATCAAAATTCCTCCTTTAGGTCTTTTTTTTTTTTTTTTTGCTTTATTTGAAGGTCAGCCAGCATTTCGGGTTGTCGATAAGAATCTTATCCACCTGGTGCTGCGAGATGCCCCTCATCAGCATCTTCGGCACAATGTTGTTCAGGATGTGAGAGTAGCCGTGGCCGCCGTACTTGGTGAGGCGGTTCTTGGTGTGGATGTCGTGTGCAACCACTATCTTGTCCTCGTAGCCCTCCTTCACAAGGAACGCCAAGCTGAGGGTGAACGTGAACAAAGAAACGTGAAAAACAATTTTACAGAACATCCTGTAACTGCTATTCTTGTCTTCATGTGTTAAACTCATCTTTTGTATGTGGGGACAATGATCTGACCAGAATGTGAATACTGCTAGCTGCACCACTCATTCATTCATCACCCCTCCTGTTGACACACACTCCTGCCTTCGCTGTCGAGGGAGATTAGTGTCTCACAGTTTATGTGAAAAAAACTAGAGGACATGCTCTTCTCTCCACGGGGAGTAAAACACAGAAGAAGCATTTTGCTTTAAATGATGCACCTGATGAGGACGCTCAGATAAAGGCACAGAGGGGTCTGATCTCAAATTTGAACACTGAATTTGAACCCATAGTAAAATGTCAAATGTGGACAATGTGGTCACACTTGCGCTTCACTCCTGACAAGTCCTATCACAAAAACCACACAGATAAGACAAGTTTAACCCTGACCAGGCTTACTCACGCCTTCACTCTCTGGCTGTCACTGGGCATGTCCACCTCCAGGTTATAAGGGTAGTTCAGCATCTCTGTTCCAAACAGATCATACTCCAGATAACTCCCCAGCTTCGCAAACTCAAGCAGCTCGCCATCATCAAATATAGTCCTGCAGGAAGAGAGCAGAAAGGTGATGAAGTATCAAAGACATCAGTCTTTTAAAGGAGGAAGTTCATTCCATTTCCCAGCGTGTTTGTTTGAAATTTGATTTGATCTAGGACTAAAATTCAATACATTTTTGTAATTTAGCCGTGACTCAACTAATTTGTTTTGAAAAGCAGATCTAAAGACATAGCGGGCTCAACCGTGGACTGATATCTAACTAAAGCTATCTTATTAAACACCACCTTTCCTTCATCCTTCTTAGGTGAACGTTCTGAGTGAAGAAGATAACATTTGCATGTGAATGGGCTTTATGAATCATTTATGCTCTTTATGAAGAGGACGTGCAAATTAGCTTTTTCTGATCTCTGAGGACAACTGGCAGCCTGTAACCACCTCTACACCAGTGGTTCTCACATCAATGACCCCTAAACTGACACAAATTAGACCACGGATCCCCATTTGATATGATTTTGTCCCAGGGTTCCCCCTCTGATAGGATTTTTGCTTTTAGATGCTTTTATTACAGAAAGTGTGTGAAACCCATGAACCAAGTAGGCTAGTCATACATTCTGTCATTGTGTTACTTACAGATAGAATTGGAAGCCCCCGAGATCATCATGCTATAACACCAAACAGAAAGAGGAGTGTTGTTCTGACGGGGCGGGAGATGGTGAAATTATTGAATAATAATTATTTAAGTATTTATTTTTAGTAAGGGGGAAAAATAAATCTCAGGGGACGTGGGACAGGAAGTAATGAGGCTTACAGGAAAGGTCGACCTGATTCTGATTGTAACTAATACAAAGTTGATATCTAAAAGGCTGATTATACTGTCAAAAGAAATTCCTTTATTTTCCTCAACTAACAGCTTCCAGGGACTTCTCACCTGTCCAGGTGTGACATGACAGTTTTGCCAATGTCACCGCCGGCCTCCTGAAGAATCCGGACGACCTCAGCGGGAGCGGCAGGATTCCTACCGGGGTGGATGATGACGGGGCAGCCGAGCTGGGCCTGAGCGTGAGCCGTGGCCCTCAGCACCTTTGTCTCGCTCTCTGTGATGGGCCAGCCGGTGCCGATCTCTCCGATTACACCGCAGCGGATGTCTGTGCCGTCAGCGCCATGAAGCACCTCGCTGATGATGATGTCTGTGAGCTGACGGGGCAGGATATGAGGAGTCGGTTAAAGCAGGATGACATCACTCTGACATGTGTGCATTAAAACGGCCCACTTCTGATGTCTTAGTTTTGCCCCTTTAACAGACTTGAGGTACATGAACAGAGCACCTGTTAGATTTAGCGTGATAATATCTAAATATCGATGAAGATTACATGCACATTCTCAGTGCGTCACCGCTAAAGGACCAGACAAGGCAGCCAGAAACCCGTTCAAATCAATCAAACGATACAGAAGAAATCCTTGCACATAAACACAGAACGTGCTGAGAGAGTGGGCGATACATCAAATTGTCAGCACAACACATTGATGCTGTATGTCTTCTGCCTGAGACATACAGTACCAGTAGCAAATTCCAGACGCACGCATACTAACTTAAGTTTCCAAAATTGCTTCAGATTTTGGACAGAAGACTGCATGCCTGATTTTGGCCAAACTGACTGCGGCTACACTCGCTCTCAGACTGGGACACACCTTCTCCACACTCATTCTCTTGGTGGCCTTAGTGTGGGTGCAGTCCACATAGTACCCTGCTCCTGCGATGACATGGACCCCGGTGTCCTTGGACAGCTGCCTGAGGGTGGGCAGGTCCCGGTCGATGCCCGTGGTGGTGTTCTCCACAATTGTGCCCCCGCCCACCTTCCTGTAGGCATGCAGCTCGTCCCGCACGGCGGCGGTCTCCTGCAGCAGCAGCAAGTTCTCATGGCAGCTATAGGGGTTTTGTCTCAGCCAGTGCATGTGCTGCATCTTGAAGGGGTTCTCCGCCACCGCCTCGTCACCTGGAGGAGGAGGGAAGTAGCAGCACTCAAAGCTCATGGTCAGGTGCTCATGGGTCATGGTGCGGCCCAGTTGGTCTGGATCCATCAGACCCAGGACGGTCAGGCACTTCCCACTCAACTCTGACATGATTGGTGTTTAGGAGTTTCCAACAACCTGAAAGGACACATATTATTCATTATTTATAAATGACACAAATATGAGATGTGGTGATGTCTAAAGTTTTGGCACTTCTGTGCAACACATTGCTACAGATCAGACAGGAGTGTGTTTACTAAAAGAATCTCGGACAACTCATTGACTTCACAGCGCATGCAGGAGAGGGACCTTTGGACTGCAGAGTGCAAAACCTGGTCCTTATCAAAACTAACCTTACGGTGTGTCTAGGAGCTAAGTTTATTATTTCCCTTCCTAGCTGCTGATCCGTAACTTCATAGCTGTACATTGTAGTCGTTGTAATGAGCAACGTTTTGTACTCAGGCAACTCGCTGAAATCAACTGAAAACAATGTGCAGTAAACTCAGAGCTGCAGCACGAGGTAGGCGAATCACTTCAAGTTTATCGACTTCAATCCTGAATGTGTCTAAACTGCTGAAAGATAGTTTGCTGACCTTGCCTCTGTTTATTGCGGTCCACTTCCACCACCAGCCGAAGTCAAGTAGTTGCTACGTTAACTGGATTATCTCTGCGGCGAATCGCGTGAATCATCGCGAGAAACCATGAGACTAAAGTACTGATGACAGGATTACAATAACATGAGCAATGTCAGTAAATCCAAGTTCATCATTGAAATATAACAATTAATTTTCAGTTTTTGTTTGGTGAACTTGTGTTTTATTAATTAATAGTCGTTTTGGCAGACAAAAACAAAAATGAATGTAAGTATGGACCTAAAACCATTAGCCTTTACTATGTTGTATTCATATTTAATAAGTTTAATTTAACATATGACAACAAATAAAGATACATGGCATGAAATACATTACTTTTAAAGTTGTAACTCATGACTGTATTAGTGATTGATACATTATATACTAATGCTGAAGGCTATTGATAAGTTAAAAGCCATTAATAAGAACACATTTTTGGTTACAAGGTTGTGCAAAATCTCTCTCTTAATTGTCAGTTCATTACTAACGACGTTAATACAAGGTCATCATGAGTTTCTGACATTTTGATAAGCCAACAGCAAAAGTTAGTAAGTAATCTTTAACTATAAATGTCAGTGAGTCATTAATAAAGGGTTGCAACAATCAGGACTGCAGTTAATACCTTGTTAATGAATATATTTTGGTTTCTTATGCTCTTCAGCAGTTTTCAGAAAGTCAGAGGTTAAAAGGTCTCATGCTGGAGGTGGACAAACATCTGCCACACCCTGCTAACCCCAAACTTGTTATTATTAATGACTTATAATTGGTCTATAAAACATAATTTATTAACCATTCATAAAGCAGTTGGTTCCAACTATTAAACTCTTCACGAAGGGACACAAATGTCAGGCCTGTGGGCACAAATCATGTCTTATTACATAAATTCTATAACAAGCAAACAGCATGTAACTGTAATCACCATGGGTTGCTATCATAGTTTTGGAGAACATGTGACGATGGTGCAGAGCCTGAGAGACAGACTGTGGCTCTTTCTGTTTCTGTGCTGCTCACTCAGCAGATGGCCTCCACAGCAGCATTTGGTCTGCTGTTGCAGGGAACTGCCCTGTGAATAGTCACCATTGCACTGAGCATCCCTGCAAATGGCTGAGCAAATGACCATCCACATACTGTGCAGCCTATGCCATAAATTTGTCAGCAAGATGACTACTCTGTAGATCAGACCAACGGCCGTGATTTGAAGCAAACATACTCTCCTTCAAGGCTGGATAAATCCTCTCTGTCTTCATAGGCTGAGAATGTAAGATGAAGTCATGGCCACATGCAGTGATCATTGTTATGATATGTGTCAAATTAACCTGCAGAGAGGCCCCTGGGGTAAGAATGAACTGTGGGTCCTTTGTGCATGTTCTTCTGATCAGGGCCGGATGGCTGTTCCTAGTGACAGGTTGAAAACTTTGAAGTTGTGGCTCACAAACTGTGAAGTGAAAAAACATCTCAAAACTCACCAGTTAAGACTTGCTTTTGTTTGGTTTTATTTACTCTTTATCAATTTCATTTATAACCCTTATAATACGTCTTTATTTTATGTCTTGTTTTTGTCCTGTATTGTAAAGGACTTTGTGATGTTTAATCCAGAAAAGTGCTGTATAAATCAACGGTCTTACTTACAGGTCCCGTTGTGGGAATTTTACACAAACGTATTTAGGAACGCGTACAATATGTGAAACTTGAAATACCTGTAGATTTTGACAAAGAACACAGACCACAGAGATCTGTGAAATAAACTAAAAGTAAAGCACCAAATGTTTAAAAGGATCAAGCAACAATACTGATAATAAGCTGAAAGACAAAATCAATACATTCAACCATTATGCAGTATATGGAAGAAAACAAACAAACAAGGCAACAGGGATGCAAAATGAATTTACCAACTCCAAAATTATACGAAGTTCTTGTGGTAAATGGGTTTTTGGAGGGCTGTTACTCATAAGTCCAGAGTGCCATTCCACTGCAGGGTTCCTCATTAGTGACAAGAGATTGTCACTTCCATTCATTTGTATGGCTGACATGTTTGAGACGGACACGACCGCAGGGAGATTCTCAAGGAGAGGGATGACTAAAACCTCCTCTCCCAATTGGCCTCCTGAGACACTGATAGTAATAAGAATGTATGTAAGTTTGATGCATAGTCTGTATACTATGGAACCTTGTTATTGTTTATTGGTATATGTTTGTTTTTCAGGCCTGTTGTAAGAGCTGTCAGATTTTAAAATGTGTTGAAAACATGCCCTATTTGCCGTAAACGTAGCCTACTACTCTTTTCACTTTACACACTGCCACGTCCCTCTCTGCAATTATATAATTTAACACTCTCCTTCTTGCAATATATATCTCCATAAAGGTAGACAATATTTGCAGCTTAAACAGGAAGAGTCTGGATAACACACTGACTGCTAGAGGGCCTGCCAGGATTTCAAGGTCTGGCTGAGTGTAGTGATCTGGTGCCCTCTGCAGACAGAGTGGAGGCACATGTTTTGCAGTTTTATAAGGCCCAAAGATCTATCGGTAAAACACCAGATTTTTCAGTGACACACTGTAGCCCCCAACTGTTTTTAAAAGCAGAAACATGCACATAGTACTACTCCTGCTTGAGGGGGGTCTTCAGTCAATTTAAGTCACATGAATGACAATAAAAGGCAGCGGTTGACGACTGGGTTCTGTTTTATCTAATTTTCACGCTGGTTAGGAGCCCCAAGCATTGTGAATCAATAGGCATGTTTGTTTCAAGAAATGGCAGCGAGATAATGAATTATGAGAACAATGAAACTGTGATGAATTGCAAACCTCACCCTTAACTAAAAGATGATTCATACAGTTAAAGTGTGGGAGCATTTACAAAAACTTCCTTCTTATACTTCCCTGTGTAAAACAAAATCCCTGACACAACTACAAAAACCAGAAATTCAGCAACAGGTATAATGTCCAAAGATACAAAAGAAACAGACATCATCAAACATCTGCTACAATTAAGGGAAAATCAATCAGTTTTGTTAAAGCTGATGGGAAATAAGCTTCAGTTTTGACTTTAAGTGAAATTCAGACAAATTAACTTAAACAAATCCTTTCCAAAAGTAATTTTGGACAGGATTTTTGACCATCTTATTCCAAAACCGTGGGCAGTTGTCACAGCCTCCACTCTTCTGGGATGGCTTACCTACTAGCTGCAGGGATTTGCTGACATTCAGACACAAGAGCATCGGCCACTGATGTTGGTCAATAAATCCCCGCTCGCACTCTGCGTTCCACATCACCCAAGTGGTTGAGGTCAGAGCTCCATGCAGGCCAGGTCAAGTTATTCACTGCCAAACTCTTTCTGGATTTCTTTCTTGTCCTCACTTTGTGTACAGGCCTTGGATCATTTTTTAATGTTGAAACCGAAATGGTTCCTCCCCAAACTGTTTCCACAAAGTTGAAAGCACACCATTGTCTAAAATATCCTTGAATGCAGTGTTATTAATGTTTCCCATCATTAAAAAAACTATGAAAAAGAGCCCCAGAATAAAGTACACGAAAGTCTGCAGGCAGGAGTGTCCACACTTTTGGGGCATATAGTATTCTCTGAAGTTGAGTCCAGACAACATTATATACACATCTAAGGCTTTGCTTGGTTCTCTTCAAATATAGGAAAGTGGCACTACAGTACAAATCCTCTTAAATGTCTGAAGGAACAGCCATTTGGTTGAGTTAAGCATAGTGAGAGATGATAATGAACACAAGCTGGAAGATAGACGTAAGTAGGATCTTGTATGTTGTTTAGTATTTTTTTCAAACATGGGGAAAGGATTAAGGATTAATTGGACATGATTTTTCCAACTCCAGAATAAATCGGTTTATTGTTAATTCAGTTCTTTAAGCAAAGGTCCCCAAAATTAACTAGTTGCAGCATCTAATATAAATAACTGCAGGTGTATTCTTGTTCTGTGGTTGTAAACAGAATCTTCTGTTATATCAGAACAAAAAAGTAATTTGAATACATCATCTTGAGCTTTTTTGTCAGAATGTGTGTCATAAATAGGTTTGTTTCCAAATTCCCAGTGGCCTCTTCTGAATTCAGCCTGTTGAAAATAACCCTGCTGGTATGAAGGAGGCCACGGCATGCATTTCATGTGAAGTGTCATGCAAATCTCATTTCCACGGGTCCACATGACAAGGAACAACCTGCAGACACTCCTATTCATTCAGTGTCATATGTAAAGCAGAAACATCCACACAGTCCTGTGAGACCTCTGCCTCTGGAACAAGAAACAACTTCACCATGGCTGTGAGGACTTTAGTTGTTGTCTGCGCTCTCTTTTCGGTGATGTGCATCATTGAAAGTGGCAAGCCAAGTGAAATAACACACGCCTTCTGCAAGATTGTCTGGTAAGACTTCATCTATTTGTAATCAAGTGTTAGATTTGTTCCTTTAGCCAATGCAGTGAATACGGAGAGGATATAAGATATAATTATATCTTATATCTTATCTTATCGTATCTTATAATTATATTTTTATCATTTTAAAAATTTAAAATATTTATATAATATATAATATATTTTTAAATATTTTGATCTCTTTTCTCAGGTTGCTTGGAGTGCCGTGTGATCAAGTTAACATGGCCATCGTGACTCAGATTAAAGCCATGGCCTCATACAAGGTGGGACCCTTGAAGAGAAATTTAGTTAAACATGAATTTATTTTGGTCATGTAAGTTTATACTGATTAATTACAAAATGCTCTTTTTGTGGTTTTAAAACAGCTCGGCCCAGTAACTCCAGCCCTTATTCAGGCCAATCACAGTTCTGCAGTCAACCAGATGGAGGCTGTTAACTTCACCATGATCTCCACATCCATGGCCACGGGCTGCCGTGTAGAGGTGTGTCAGATACATTTGCATCTAATACATTTTAATGACCTTCCGTAAAATTTTTATTTTAGTGGAAATACACGAAGCCCCCCTGGTGACATTGATACATTACATTACATTACATGGAAATTATGGAAAATGTATTAATTTGTGGCCTCAAATTAATCATTCGGGCCACAAATTATTATTTTGAAGCCACAAATGAATTAGTC